TCCCCCCAAATCCCCCAAATAGTTCCCAAAATTCCACCTAAAATTCCCCAAATTCCATCAAAATCCCCCCAAATCCCCCAAATAATCCCCAAAATTACCCCCAAATCCCCCAAATAATCCCCAAAATCGCCAAATAATTCCCAGAATTTCCCCCAAAATCCCCAAAATAGTTCCCAAAATTCCCCCCAAAATTTCCCCCAAATAATCCCCAAATTCCATCAAAAATTCCCCCTAAAATCTCCCCAAATTCCCCCCAAAATCCGCCAAAATCCATCAAAATCCCCCCAGATAATCCCCAAATAATCCCCAAAATCCCCCAAATTCCATCAAAATCTCCCAAATCACTCCCAAAATTCCCCCTAAAATCCCCTAAAATCCCCCCAAAATCCCCCAAATAATTCCCAAATCCCCCAAAATCCCCCAGAATTCCCAAATTTCCCCCAAATTTCCCAAATTTCCCGGAATTCGGGCACTCACAGCGAAGATCTCCTGGAGGCCGCCGGGGGTTCGGGCGCCTCTGGAGGAGCCCCCGGAGCAGCTCCGTGAGAGCCCCCAGGGCCTCCCCGAGCAAATCCTGGAAAAATCCCGGAATTCTGGGATTGGGAACGGCCTGGGATCCACAAATCCAACAAATCCAGGGAAAAAACATTGGGAATTTTGGGGGGGTTTTGGAAATTTTGGGCGGGGGGGGAAATTTGGGGGAGTTTTGGGATGGGAATAATGGGAATGGAAAAATGGGAAAAATGGGAATTGTGGGAATGGAAAATTTGGAATGGGAATAATGGGAGAAATGGGAATAATGGGAATGGAAAAATGGGAATTATGGCATTAATTAATGGGAATAATGGGAATAATGGAGAAAATGGGAATAATGGGAATGGAAAAATTTGGAATGGGAATAATGGGAATAATGGGATTAATGGGAATAATGAGATTAATGGGAAACTGGGAATAATGGGAATAATGGGAATAATGGGAATGGAAAAAAATGGGAATTATGGGAATTGTGGGAATGGAAAATTTGGAATGGGAAAAATGGGAAAAATGGGAAAAATGGGAATTATGGGAATTGTGGGAATGGAAAATTTGGAATGGGAATAATGGGAGAAATGGGAATAATGGGAGAAATGGGAATGGAAAAATGGGGAAAAATGGGAATTGTGGGAATGGAAAATTTGGAATGGGAATAATGGGAATAATGGGAATAATGGGGATAACAGGGATAACAGGGATAATGGGAATGGAAAACTGGGAATAATGGAAATAATGGAAATAATGGGAATGAAAGATTTGGAATGGGAATAATGGGAATAATGGGGACTATGGGAACAATGGGAATTATGGGAACAATGGGAACAATGGGAATGGGAAAGTTTGGAATGGGAATAATGGGAATGGAAAAAAATGGGAATGGAAAACTGGGAATAATAGGAATAATGGGAAAAATGGGAAAAATGGGAATAATGGGAAAAATGGGAATGGAAAAATTTGGAATGGGAAACTGGGAATAATGGGAATAATGGGAAAATGGGAATGGAAAATGGGAATTATGGCATTAATGGGAATAATGGGAATAATGGGAATAATGGGAATTATGGGAATGCAAAATTTGGAATGGGAATAATGGGAATAATGGGAACAATGGGAATAATGGGAACAATGGGAATAATGGGAATAGAAAATTTTGGAATGGGAAGAATGGGAACAATGGGAATAATGGGAATGGGAAACTGGGAAGAATGGGAATTATGGGAATAATGGGAAGAATGGGAATGGAAAAATTTGGGGAATGATGGCAATGGAAAAATTTGGAATGGGAATAATGGGGAAAATGGGAATTATGGAATAATGGGAATAATGGGGATGGAAACATTTGGAATGGGAAAAATGGGAATAATGGGAATAAAGGGAATAATAGGAATGGAAAAATTGGAATGGGAATAATGGGAATAATGGGAATGACGGGAATAATGGGAATGACGGGAATAATGGGAATGACGGGAATGATGGGAATGGGAAGTTGGAAATGGGAAAAATGGGAATTTTGCGGTTTTTTCTGCCAATTGTTGGGGTTTTTTTTGCCAAATTTGGGGTGAAATTTCTGGGAATTTTGAGATGGGAACAATGGGAATTATGGGAAAAATGGGAATAATGGGAATAATGGGAAAGAATGGGAATAGGAAGTTGGAAATGGGGAAAATGGGAATTTTGGGGTTTTTTGCCAATTTTTGGGGTGAAATTCCTGGGAATTTTGGGATGGGAATAATGGGAACAATGGAATGTAAAAATCTGGAATGGGAACCTGGGAATAATGGGAATAATGGAAAAATTTGGAATGGGAAAATGGGAATGATGGGAATAATCGGAATGGAGAAATGGGAATAATGGGATTAGTGGGAATTATGGGAATTATGGGAAAGGGAAACTGGGAATGATGGGAATAACGGGAATGGACAAATGGGAATTATGGGAATTATGGGAATTATGGGAATTATGGGAATTATGGGAATGGAAAGATTTCGAATGGGAAAATGGAAAAATGGGAAACTGGGAATAATGGGGATAATGGGGATAATGGGAATAAAGGGAATAATGGGAATGCAAAATTTTGAATGGGAACAATGGGAATAATGGGAATGGAAAAATTTGGAATGGGAATGATGGGAATAAAGGGAATAATGGGAATAATGGGAAAAATGGGAATAGAAAAATTTGGAATGGGAAACTGGGAATAATGGGAACAACGGAAACATTTGGAATGGGAATAATGGGAATTATGGGAAAAATGGGAATGGAAAAATTTCGAATGGGAAGAATGGGAATAAAGGGAATAATGGGAATAAAGGGAATTATGGGAATGATGGGAATAATGGGAATGATGGTAATAATGGGAGTAATGGGAATGGAAAAATTTGGAATAGGATTAAAGGGAATAACGGGAATAATGGGAATAATGGGAATAATGGGGATAATAGGAATGCAAAATTTTGAATGGGAACAATGGGAATAAGGGGAATAATGGGAATAATGGGGAAAATGGGAATGGAAAAATTTGGAATGGGAATAACGAGATTAATGGGAACAATAGGAATGATGGGAATAATGGGAATGGAAACATTTGGAATGGGAATAATGGGAATAATGGGGATGATGGGAATAATGGGAATAATGGGAATGGAAAAATTTGCAATGGGAAAATGGGAATAATGGGAATGATGGGAATAATGGGGATAGCGGGAATGATGGGAATGATGGGAATATGGGAATAATGGGAATAATGGGAACAATGGGAATGGAAAAATTTGGAATGGGAAACTGGGAATAATGGGAATTATGGGAATAATGGGAATAATGGGAATGCAAAATTTTGGAATGGGAATGATGAGAATAATGGGAATGATGAGAATAATGGGACCAAGGAGAATAATGGAAATGGAAAAAAATTGGAACGGGAATAAAGGGAATAAAGGGCATAAAGGGAATAAGATAATGGAAATGAAGGGAATAAATGGAAAAATGGGAATAATGGGGAAGATGGGAATAATGGGAATAATGGGAATAATGGGAATAATGGGAATGGAAAAATCTGGAATGGGAATATTGGGAATATTGGGAATAATGGGGGTAATGGGAATAATGGGAATGGAAAAATTTGGAATGGGAATAATGGGAATAATGGGAATAATGGGAATAAATGGAAAAACTTGAAATGGGAATAAAGGGAACAATAGGAATAATGGGAATAATGGGAATGGAAAAATCTGGAATGGGAAAATGGGAATAATGGGAACAATGGGAATAATGGGAACTATGGGAAAAGTGGGAATAATGGGAAAAATGGGAATAATAGGAATGAGATTAATGGGATTAATGGGATTAATGGGAATGGAAAGATTTGGAATGGGAATAATGGGAATAATGGGAATAATGGGAATAATGGGAATGGAAAAATTTGGAAGGGGAATGATGGGAATGATGGGAATGGAAAAATCGGAATAATAGGAATTGGGGAAATGGGGGGAAATGGGGAAAAATTGGGAATAATGGGGGGAAATGGGAATAATGGGAATGGAAAAATTTGGAATGGGACAATGGGAACAATGGGAAAAGTGGGAATAATGGGAAAAATGGGAATAATAGGAATGGGATTAATGGGATTAATGGGATTAATGGGAATGGAAAGATTTGGAATAGGAATAAAGGGAATCATGGGAATAAAGGGAATCATGGGAATAATGGGGATAATGGGAATGGAAAACTTTGGAATGGGAAAATGGAAAAAATGGGAATAATGGGAATTGGGGAAATGGGGAAAAATTTGGAATAATGGGGGTAATGGGAGTAATGGGAATGGAAAAATTTGGAATGGGAATAATGGGAATAATGGGAATGGAAAAATGGGAATAAATGGAAGAATTTGGAATGGGAATGATGGGAATGATGGGAATGATGGGAATGGAAAAATGGAAAAAATGGGAATAATGGGAATGATGGGAAATAATGGTAATGGAAAAAATTGGAATGGGAATAAAGGGAATAAAGGGAATAAAGGGAATAAAGGGAATAATGGGAATGGAAACATTTGGAATGGGAATGATGGGAATGATGGCAATGGTGGGAATGGAATAATGGGATAAGTGGGAACAATGGGAACAATGGGAATAATGGGAATGAAGGGAATAATGGGAATAATGGGAATGAAGGGAATAATGGGAATAATGGGAATGAAGGGAATAATGGGAATAATGGGAATGGAAACATTTGGAATGGGAACAATGGGATTGGAACCCCGGGACCGAGGCAGGAACCCCCATTTCTCCCCCAGGCCCTGGGGCCGCCATTCCCACCCCGGATCCAATTCCCAGCAAATCCGGAGCCGCCCCATCCCAACAAAGAGCCCAGGAAAAACCCGGAATGTCGCGATGGGAATTCCCCCATCCCGCTCCGGTTTCCCCCCAGAATTCCCGATTTTTTGGGGGGTTTTTCCCCGGAATTCCCACCTGGGCTCCGGGAGGCTCCGGGTGTTTCCCGGATTCCGGCGGGGGCAGGCCCAGGACGGAGGCCAGGGCCGTGTCCAGGAGCTCGGAGCGCTCGGAGTCGCTCAGGGGCGGCTCCAGGGCCCTGGCACGGGGTCAGGAAAATCCCGGAATGGGAACGGCCAGGGGGGAATTGGGGATGGGGGAGTGGGAATTGGGGGAATTATGGGGATTTATTGGGGATTTATGGGGATTATTGGGATTATTGGGGATTTATTGGGGATTTATTGGGGATTAATGGGGGTTATTTGGAGTTATTGGGAATTTATTGGGAATTATTGGGAATTAATGGGAATTATTTGGAGTTATTGGGAATTTATTGGGGATTTATTGGGAATTATTGGGGATTTATTGGAAATTATTTGGGATTTATTGGGGATTATTGAGGATTTATTGGAAATTATTTGGGATTTATTTGGGATTATTGGGAATTAATGGGAATTATTGGGATTTATTGGGGATTTATTGGGAATTATTGGGGATTTATTGGAAATTTTTTGGGATTTATTTGGGATTATTGGGAATTAATGGGAATTATTGGGATTTATTGGGGATTTATTGGAAATTATTGAGGATTTATTGGAAATTATTTGGGATTTATTGGGGATTACTGGAAATTATTGGGGAATTACTGGGAATTATTGGGGATTAATGGAAATTATTGGGGATTTATTGGAAATTATTTGGGGGTTTATTGGGGATTATTGGGAATTAATGGGAATTATTGGGATTTATTGGGATTTACTGGGGATTATTGGGGATTTATTGGGGATTATTGGGAATTATTTGGGATTTATGGGGATTATTGGGGATTTATGGGGATTATTGGGGATTATTGGGAATTATGGGGAATTATTGGAAATTATTGGGAATTAATGGGAATTATGGGGAATTAATTGGGAATTATTGGGAATTATTTGGGATTATGGGGAATTATGGGGTTTTATGGGAATTATTGGGAATTATTGGGAATTATTAGGAATTATGAGGAATTATTGGGAATTATTGGGAATTATTTGGGATTAATGAGAATTATTGAGGATTTATTGGGAATTATTGGGGATTTATTGGGGATTTATTGGGAATTAATGGGGATTATTTGGAGTTATTGGGAATTATTGGGGATTATTGGGAATTTATTGGAATTACTGGGGATTATTTGGAATTAATGGGGATTATTGGGAATTTATTGGGAATTATTGGGGATTATTGGGAATTAATGGGGATTATTTGGAGTTATTGGGAATTTATTGGGAATTTATTGGGGGTTAATGAGAATTTATTGGGAATTATTGGGGATTTATTGCAAATTATTTGGGATTTATTGGGGATTATTGGGAATTTATTGGGAATTAATGGGGATTATTTGGAATTAATAGGGATTATTAGGGATTATTGGGAATTTATTGGGAATTATTGGAGATTAATGGGGATTAATTGGGGATTATTGGGAATTAATGGGGATTATTGGGGATTATGGGGAATTATTGGAAATTATTGGGAATTAATGGGAATTATGGGGAATTAATTGGGAATTATTGGGAATTATTTGGGATTATGGGGAATTATGGGGATTTATGGGGATTATTGGGAATTATTGGGAATTATTAGGAATTATTAGGAATTATGAGGAATTATTGGGAATTATTGGGAATTATTTGGGATTAATGAGAATTATTGAGGATTTATTGGGAATTATTGGGGATTAATGAGAATTATTGAGGATTTATTGGGAATTATTTGGAGTTATTGGGAATTATTGGGAATTATTAGGGATTTATTGGGAATTAATGGGAATTATTTGGAGTTATTGGGAATTACTGGGGAATTATTAGGGATTTATTGGGAATTAATGGGAATTATTTGGAGTTATTGGGAATTATTGGGAATTATTTGGGATTAATGAGAATTATTGAGGACTTATTGGGAATTATTGGGGAATTATTAGGGATTTATTGGGAATTATGGGGAATTTACTGGGAATTATTGGGAATTAATGGGGATTATTTGGGAATTATTTGGAGTTATTGGGAATTATTGAGGAATTAGTGGGGATTAGGGGGAATTAATGGGGATTATTGGGGATTAATGGGAATTATTGGGGATTAATGGGGATTTTATTGGGAATTTATTGGGAATTATTTGGGATTATTTGGAGTTATTGGGAATTTATTGGGAATTAATGTGGAATTATTGGGAATTAATGGGGGTTATTTGGAGTTATTGGGAATTTATTGGGAATTTATTGGGGATTAATGAGAATTATTGGGGATTTATTGGGGATTATTGGGAATTTATGGGGATTATTTGGAGTTATTGGGAATTTATTGGGGATTATTGGGGATTATCGGGAATTATTAGGGATTAATGGGAATTATGGGGAATTATTGGCAATTATTGGGGATTTATTGGGTACTATTGGGGATTAGGGGGAATTTATTGGGAATTATTTGGATTTATTGGGAATTTATTGGGAATTAATGGGAATTATTGAGGATTTATTGGGAATTATTGGGAGTTAAAGGGAATTAATGGGAATTATTGGGCATTTATTGAGAATTATGGGGAATTATGGGGAATTAAAGGGAATTATTAGGGATTTATTGGGGATTATTAGGAATTATTTGGTATTAATGAGAATTATTGGGGAATTATTGGGAATTAATGGGGATTACTTGGAGTTCTTGGGAATTATTGGGGAATCATTGGGAATTAAAGGGAATTAATGGGAATTATTGGGCATTTATTGGGAATTATTGAGAATTATGGGGAATTTATTGGGAATTATTCGGAATTATTGGGAATTTATTGGGAATTATTCAGAATTATTGGGAATTATTTGGGATATTTGGAGTTATTGGGAATTTATTGGGAATTAATGGGGATTAATGGGGATTAGGGGGAATTATTGAGAATTACTGGGGATTAATTGGGAATTATTTGGAGATATTGGGAATTTATTGGGAATTATTGGGGATTATGGGGAATTAATGGAGATTATTTGGAAATATTGGGGATTATTAGGGAATTAATGGGGATTAGGGGGAATTAATGGGGATTTATTGGGGATTTATTGGGGATTATTGGGAATTATTGGAAATTAATGGGAATTATTGGAAATTTAAAAAAATTATTGGGAATTATTTGGAATTAATGGGAATTACTTGGGATTAATGAGAATTATTGAGGATTTATTGGGAATTATTGGGGAATTATTGGGAATTAATGGGGATTACTTGGAATTCTTGGGAATTTATTGGGAATTATTTGGAATAATTGGGAATTAATGGGGATTACTTGGAGTTATTGGGAATTATTTGGAATTATTGGGAATTATTGGGAATTATTTGGAATTAATGGGGATTATTTGGAGTTCTTGGGAATTTATTGGGAATTTATGGGGAATTATTAGCGATTAATGGGAATTAATGGGAATTATTGGGCATTATGGGGAATTAATGGGAATTATTGGGAATTATTTGGCATTATGGGGAATTAAAGGGAATTATTCGGAATTATTGGGGATTATTGGGGATTAACTGGATGATTGGGGATTATTGGGAATTTATTGGGAATTATTGAGAATTAATGGGAGTTATTGGGGATTATCGGGAATTATTTGGGAATTATCGGGAATTATTTGGGAATTATTGGGGATTATTTGGGATCAATTGGGAATTATTGGGAATTAATGGGAATTACTGGGGATTATTGGGGAATTAATTGGGAATTATGAGGAATCATTGGGAATTATTAGGGATTAATTTGGAATCATTGGGAATTATTAGGGATTAATTGGGAATTTATTGGGGATTATTGGGAATTTATTGGGAATTATTAGGGATTAATGGGAATTACTGGGAATTATTGGGGATTATTTTGGATCAATTGGAAATTATTGGGAATTTATTATTGGGGATTATTGGGGATTATAGGGAATTATTGGGGATTATTGGGGATTAATTGGGGATTATTGGGGATTAATTGGGAATTAATGGGATTATTGGGGATTATTGGGAATTTATTGGGATTATTGGGGATCAGTTGGGAATTATTGGAAATTAATGGGAATTATTGGGAATTATTTGGTATTAATGAGAATTATTGAGGATTTACTGGGAATTATTGGGGAATTATTGGGAATTAATGGGGATTATTTGGATTTATTGGGCATTTATTGGGAATTTATGGGGATTATTTGGATTTATTGGGAATTTATTGAGAATTATTGGGAATTATGGGGAATTATTGAGAATTACAGGGAATTATTGGGAATTTATTTGGACTTATTGGGCATTTATTGAGAATTATTGGGAATTATGGGGAATTATTGGGGATCAGTAGGGAATTATTGGAGTTATTTGGATTTATTGGGAATTATTGGGGATTATTGGAGTTCACTAAGAATTATTGGGGATTAATTGGGGAATATTGGGGATTTATTAGGAATTTATTGGGAATTATTTGGGAATTCCAAGGAGTGGCTCCAGGGACAGCGGAATTTGCAGAATTCCCGGAATTCCACGAAGTCCCAAGAATCCAATCCCAAATCCCAGTCCTGGAATTCCCAAAATTTCCAAGGATCCAACCCCAAATCCCGGAACTCCCAGAATTATTCCCGGAATTTTGGGAATTCCCAGAGGATCCAACCCCAAATCCCAAATCCCAGCCCATTCCCAAATCCCGATCCCAGAATTCCCAGGAGGCTCTGGAGTTCTCGGAATTCCGGAAATGTTGGGAATTCCCAAGGATCCAACCCCAAATCCCAATCCCAGAACTCCCCGAATTCCCGGAATTTTGGGAATTCCCAAAGGGATCCAATCTCAGAATTCCCAGAACTCCCGGAATTCCTGGAATTTTGGGAGTTACCAAGGATCCAACCCCAAATCCCAGAATTCCCAGAATTATTCCTGGAATTTCAGGGAACCCCCAAGGATCCAACCCCAAATCCCAGAACTCCCGGAATTCCCGGAGTTATTCCCGGATTTATTCCCTGGAATTCCCGGATTTATTGCCCAGGATACACCAGGTGTGCGCAGGCGCTCAGCGCTCGCTGCCGCAGCCGCGTCCGCGGCGCCTCCGGAGGCTCCGCCCTCAGGAATTCCTGGGAAAAGGGGAGGGAAAAAAAGCGGGAATGGGGGCGGGAAAGGTCCGGAATGTCCCCTCTGGAATGTTCCGGAATGTCCCCTCTGGAACGTCCCAAGGGGATCCAAAGGGACCCTGGAATTCCTGGATTTCCCAGATTCCCTTTAATCCTCGAATTCCCGAATTTCCTGAATTCCCTGGATTCCCAAATTCCCTTTTCTTTGAATTCCTGAATTCCCTTTAATCCTCGAATTCCTGAATTTCCTGGATTCCCTGAATTTCCCGAATTCCTGAATGTCCCGGATCCCCAAATTTCCCTTTAATCCTTGAATTCCCAGAATTCCCGGATTCCCTTTAATCCTTGAATCCCTGAATTCCCTGGATTCCCAAATTTCCCTTTAATCCTCGAATTCCCAAATTTCCCGGATTCCTTTTAATCCTCGAATTCCTGAATTCCTTGGATTCCCTGGATTCCTCAATTTCTTCAATCCCTGGATTCCCTAAATTCCTCGAATTCCTTGGATTCCCTGGATTCCCAAATTCCTGAATGTCCCGGATTCCCGAATTCCCTTTAATCCTTGAATTCCTGAATTTCCCAGATTCCCAAATTCTTAAATTTCCTGGATTCCTGAACTCCCTTAAATCCTTGAATTCCTAAATTTCCTGGATTCCCAAATTCCTGAATTTCCTGGATTCCCTGAATCCCCAGATTCCCAAATTTCCTTTTAATCCTTGAATTCCTAAATTTCCTGAATTTCCTGGATTCCCAAGTTTCCTGAATTCCCCTTAATCCTCAAATTCCTGAATTTCCTGGATTCCCTGAATTCCTGAATTCCCCGAATTCCCGAATTTCCTTTTAATCCTTGAATTCCTGAATTCCCTTTAATCCTTGAATTCCTGAATTTCCTGGATTCCCAGGATTCCCAGGATTCCCTGAATTCCCTTTAACCCTTGAATTCTCGGAATTCCTGAATTTCCTGGATTCCCTGAATTCCCTGCACCCCTGACCTCACGGATTCCCAGATTCTATTCCCACGGGCATTCCCAGAGGCTCCCAGTCCCTCCCAGTCCATCCCAGTATCCCATTCCCAGTCCATCCCAGTATCCCACTCCCCCATTCCCAGTATCCCATTCCCAGTATCCCATTGCCAGTATCCCAGTGTCCCATTCCCAGTCCATCCCAGTATCCCACTCCCCCATTCCCAGTATCCCATTCCCAGTATCCCATTCCCAGTCCATCCCAGTATCCCACTGCAGTCCATCCCAGTCCATCCCAGTATCCCATTCCCAGTCCCTCCCAGTCCATCCCACTCTCCTGTTCCCAGTCCATCCTGGTATCCCAGTATCCCAGTATCCCATTCCCACAATCCCATTCCCAGTATCCCATTCCCAGTATCCCATTCCAGTCCATCCCAGTATCCCATTCCCAGTATCCCATTCCCAGTCCATCCCAGTATCCCAGTATCCCATTCCCACTCTCCCATTCCCAGTATCCTATTCCCAGTCCATCCCAGTATCCCAGTATCCCATTCCCAGTCCCTCCCAGTATCCCAGCATCCCATTCCCAGTATCCCATTCCCAATCCATCCCACTCTCCCATTCCCAGTCCCTCCCAGTCCCTCCCACTATCCCATTCCCAGTATCCCAGTATCCCACTCCAATCCATCCCAGTATCCCATCCCAGTCCCTCCCAGTCCATGTCTATCCCATTATCCCATTCCCAGTCCATCCCAGTATCCCAGTCCCAGTATCCCATTCCCAGTCCATCCCAGTCCATCCCAGTATCCCACTCCAGTCCATCCCAGTATCCCATTACCCCATTCCCAGTCCCTCCCAGTCCATCCCAGTATCCCATCCTAGTCCATTCCCAGTCCATCCCAGTATCCCATTATCCCACTCCAGGATTCCCTGGATTCCCAAGTTTCCTGAATTCCTAAATTTCCTAGATTCCTGAATTTCCAGGATTCCCAAATTTCCATTACCCCATTCCCAGTCCCTCCCAGTCCCTCCCAGTCCATCCCAGTATCCCATTCCCACTCTTCCATTCCCAGTATCCCATTCCCACTATCCCATTCACAGTCCCTCCCAGTCCATCCCAGTATCCCATTCCCAGTCCCTCCCAGTCCATCCCAGTATCCCATTCCCAGTCCATCCCAGTATCCCAGTATCCCATTCCCACTCTTCCATTCCCACTATCCCATTCCCAGTCCCTCCCAGTCCATCCCAGTATCCCATTCCCACTATCACATTCCCACTATCACATTCCCAGTCCATCCCAGTACCCCACAATCCCATTCCCAGTCCCTCCCAGTCTATCCCAGTATCTCATCCCAGTCCATCCCAGTCCATCCCAGTATCCTCCTATCCCACTCCAGTCCATCCCAGTATCCAACTCTCCCATTCCCACTCTCCCATTCCCACTCTCCCATTCCCAGTCCATCCCAGTATCCCATTCCCAGTATCCCATCCCAGTCCATCCCAGTGTCCCATTCCCACTCTCCCATTCCCAGTCCATCCCAGTATCCCATTCCCAGTATCCCATTGCCAGTATCCCAGTGTCCCATTCCCACTCTTCCATTCCCAGTATCCCATTATCCCAGTCCATCCCAGTATCCCACTATCCCATTCCCAGTCCATCCCAGTATCCCACTCCAGTCCATCCCAGTCCATCCCAGTGTCCCATTCCCAGTCCCTCCCAGTCCATCCCACTCTCCTGTTCCCAGTCCATCCCAGTCCATCCCACAATCCCAGTATCCCAGTGTCCCATTCCCAGTATCCCATTCCCAGTCCATCCCAGTGTCCCATTCCCAGTATCCCATTCCCAGTCCATCCCAGTGTCCCATTCCCAGTATCCCATTCCCAGTCCATCCCAGTATCCCATTCCCAGTATCCCACTCCAGTCCATCCCAGTGTCCCATTCCCAGTCCATCCCAGTCCCTCCCAGTCCATCCCAGTATCCCATTCCCAGTCCATCCCAGTCCATCCCAGTCCCTCCCAGTATCCCAGTCCCAGTCTCACCACCATGAGCGCCACCAGCTCGGCCTTGTGGGCGATGCTGCCGGAGCCGCCGGGGCCGTTCCCGGGGTAATTCCCGAAATTCCCGGAATTCTTCCCGGCATTGCCGCAGGCCAGGGCTCGGCCGATCATGGAGACGCTGCGGGCCAGGCTCAGCTTCAGCACCGGGTCCTGAGGGACGGGGACCAACGGCACCGGCGTCAGCGGGGTCAATGGGATCGGGATCGGGATCAGTGGGATCAGGAACCAACGGCACCGGGATCAGCGGGGTCAGGATCGGGATCGGGATCAGGATCAGTGGGATCAGGAACCAACGGCACCGGGATCAGCGGGGTCAGCGGGATCACTGGGATCAGCACCGGGATCAGCGGGATTGGGATCAGTGGGATTGGGAACCAACGGCACTGGGGTCAGCGGGGTCAATGGGATCACTGGGATCAGTGGGATCGGGATCAGCACCAGGATCGGGATCACCGGGATTGGGAACCAACAACACCGGGGTCAGCGGGGTCAGCGGGATCAGTGCGGTTGGGATCAGTGGGATCAGCGGGGTTGGGAACCAATGGGATCAGGATCAGCGGGATCAGGATCAGTGGGGTTGGGATTGGGATCAGCGGGGTCGGGAACCAACGGCACCGGGATCAGTGGGGTCGGGATCGGGATCAGCAGGATGGGAACCAAGGGCACCGGGATCAGCGGGATCGGGATCAGTGGGGTTGGGAATCAAGGGCACCGGGATCAGCGGGGTCGGGATCGGGATCAGCAGGATGGGAACCAAGGGCACCAGGATCAGCGGGATCAGGATCAGTGGGGTTGGGAACCAACGGCACCGGGGTCAGCGGGGTCGGGATCACTGGGATCAGCACCGGGATCGGGATCAGTGGGATCGGGAACCAACGGCACCGGCGTCAGCGGGGTTGGGATCAGCAGGGTTGGGATTGGGATCAGTGGGATTGGGAACCAATGGCACCGGGATCAGCGGGGTCGGGATCAGCACCAGGATCGGGATCAGCGGGATTGGGAACCAACGACACCAGGATCAGTGGGATCAATGGGATTGGGTTTGGGATCACCGGGATTGGGAACCAACGGCACCGGGATCAGCAGGGTCGGGATCAGCGGGGTCGGGATCAGCAGGATGGGAACCAACGGCACTGGGATCAGCGGGATCGGGATCAGCGGGGTTGGGAACCAACGGCACCAGGATCAGCGGGGTTGGGATTGGGATCAGCGGGGTCGGGAACCAACGGCACCGGGATCAGCGGGATGGGGACCAACGGCACCGGGATCAGCGGGGTCGGGATCAGCGGGGTCGGGAACCAACGGCACCGGCGTCAGCGGGGTTGGGATTGGGATCAGCGGGATGGGAACGGCACTGGGATCAATGGGGTCGGGATTGGGATCAGCGGGATTGGGATCAAGGGCACCGGGATCAGCGGGATGGGAACAGGATCAGTGGGATTGGGATTGGGATCAGCAGGATGAGGATTGGGATCAGTGGGATTGGGATCAAGGGCACCGGAATCAGCGGGGTCACGATCAGTGGGATTGGGATCAATGGGTTTGGGATCAGCGGGATGGGGATCGGGATCAGCAGGATTGGGATCAGCGGGGTTGGGATCAAGGGCACCGGGATCAGCGGGATTGGGATCAGGATCAGTGGGATCAGGATCAGCCCAGAACTGGGATTAGGATCAGCCTAGAACCGGGATCAGCATGGAAACTGGGATGGGGATCAGCCTGGAACTGGGATCAGCCCAGAACCGGGATTGGGATCAGCCTGGAACCTGGGATTGGGATCAGCCGGATCAGCCCGGAACTGGGGTCGGGATCAGTCTGCAAGGGATCAGCCCAGAACCGGGACTGGGATCAATGGGATCGGCCTGGAACCGGGACTGGGATCAATGGGATCAGCCCAGAACCGGGACTGGGATCAATGGGATCGGCCTGGAACCGGGACTGGGATCAATGGGATCAGCCTGGAACCGGGACTGGGATCAATGGGATCGGCCTGGAACTGGGACTGGGATCAATGGGATCGGCCTGGAACCGGGACTGGGATCAATGGGATCGGCCTGGAACCGGGATTGGGATCAATGGGATCGGCCTGGAACCGGGACTGGGATCAATGGGATCGGCCTGGAACCGGGATTGGGATCAATGGGATCAATCTGGAACCGGGATCGGGATCAGTGGGATCAGCCTGGAACCAGGACTGGGATCAATGGGATCAGCCTGGAACCGGGACTGGGATCAATGGGATCAGCCTGGAACCGGGATTGGGATCAATGGGATCAGCCTGGAACCGGGATTGGGATCAATGGGATCGGCCTGGAACCGGGACTGGGATCAATGGGATCAGCCTGGAACCGGGACTGGGATCAATGGGATCAGCCTGGAACCGGGATCGGGATCAATGGGATCAGCCTGGAACCGGGACTGGGATCAATGGGATCAGCCTGGAACCGGGACTGGGATCAATGGGATCGGCCTGGAACCGGGACTGGGATCAATGGGATCAGCCTGGAACCGGGACTGGGATCAATGGGATCGGCCTGGAACCGGGATTGGGATCAATGGGATCGGCCTGGAACCGGGACTGGGATCAATGGGATCAGCCTGGAACCGGGACTGGGATCAATGGGATCGGCCTGGAACCGGGACTGGGATCAATGGGATCAGCCTGGAACCGGGACTGGGATCAATGGGATCGGCCTGGAACCGGGATTGGGATCAATGGGATCGGCCTGGAACCGGGACTGGGATCGGCCCAGAACTGGGATCGGGACCAGCAAGACTGGACTGGAACCGGGATTGGGATCAGCCTGGAACTGGAATCAGCCAGAACTGGGATCGGGACCAGCAAGATTGGACTGGAACCGGGATCAGCGGGATCGGGATGAGCCCAGAACCAGGATCAGCCTGGAAGTGGGATTGGGATCGGCCTGGAACTGGGATTGGGATCAGCCTGGAAATGGGATTGGGATCAACCTGGAACTGGGACTGGGATTGGCCTAGAACTTGGACTGGGATCAGTGGGATCGGCCTGGAACTGGGATTGGGATCAGTGGGATCAGCCTGGAACCGGGATTGGGATCAATGGGATCAGCCTGGAACCGGGACTGGGATCAATGGGATCAGCCTGGAACTGGAATCAGCCAGAACTGGGATCGGGACCAGCAAGATTGGACTGGAACCGGGATCAGCGGGATCGGGATGAGCCCAGAACCAGGATCAGCCTGGAAGTGGGATTGGGATCGGCCTGGAACTGGGATTGGGATCAGCCTGGAAATGGGATTGGGATCAACCTGGAACTGGGACTGGGATTGGCCTAGAACTTGGACTGGGATCAGTGGGATCGGCCTGGAACTGGGATTGGGATCAGTGGGATCAGCCTGGAACCGGGATTGGGATCAATGGGATCAGCCTGGAACCGGGACTGGGATCAATGGGATCAGCCTGGAACTGGGACTGGGATCAGCCCGGAACCAGGATCAGCCTGGAACCAGGATCAGGATCAATGGGATCGGGATGAGCCCAAAACCAGGATCAGCCTGGAACTGGGATCAGTCCAGAAATTGGGATCGGGATCAATGGGATCGGCCTGGAACCGGGATCGGGATCAGCGGGATCGGGATCAGCGGGATTGGGAGGAGCCCAGAACCAGGATCAGCCTGGAACCGGGATTGGGATCAGTGGGATTGACCCGGAACTGGGATTGGGATCAGCCCGGAACTGGAATCATTGGGATTGGGATCATTGGGATTGGGATCATTGGGATCATTGGGATTGGGATCACTGGGATCATTGGGATTGGGATCATTGGGATCATTGGGATCATTGGGATCATTGGGATTATTGGGATTGGGATCATTGGGATCATTGGGATTATTGGGATTGGGATCATTGGGATCATTGGGATCATTGGGATCACTGGGATCACTGGGATCATTGGGATCATTGGGATTGGGATCATTGGGATCACTGGGATCATTGGGATCATTGGGATTGGGATCACTGGGATCATTGGGATCACTGGGATCATTGGGATCATTGGGATTGGGATCATTGGGATTATTGCTATTGGGATCATTGGGATCATTGGGATTGGGATCAATGGGATCACTGGGATCATTGGGATCATTGGGATTGGGATCATTGGGATCATTGGGATCACTGGGATCACTGGGATCATTGGGATTGGGATCACTGGGATTGGGATCACTGGGATTGGGATTATTTGGATCAGCCTGGAACTGGGATTATTTGGATGGGGATCATTGGGATTATTGGGATTATTGGGATTATTGGGATTAGGGAATATTGGGATCGGGATCAGCCTAGAACTGGGATAACTGGGATTATCCTAGAAACCAGAATCAACCCTAAAAATAAAATAAAATAAAATAAAATAAAATAAAATAAAATAAAATAAAATAATAAAATAAAATAAAATAAAATAATAAAATAATTCCAGGAAAAAATCCAGGAGTCCCAGCAAAACCTGAAAAGTCCAGAAAAATCTGGGAATTCCATTTTTTCAAAAATCCGGAAATTCCAGGAAAAAAAAATTCCAGGAATTCCAGAAAAATCTGGGAATTCTTGCGGAAGCCGTTAGTGGCAGCGAGAGGGAGGCGTTAGCAGAGCCCAAGGAGAAAATTCCCAAGGAATTCCATGGAAAAATTCCATGGAAAACTCCGGGAATTCCCCAAACCCGAGCCCTCGGAATTCCCGGGATGGGGAAAACCTCGGGATTGATCCCAAGGGAAGCTCCTGGGGGGGATTTGGGATTTTTTGGGAATTTTTTGGGAATTTTTGGGGATTTTTGGGATGGGGAGGCCTTTGGGAAAGTCAGGAATTCCAGGGGATTTTCTGGAATTCTGGGATGGTGGAATTCCAGAATTATGGAATTCTGGGACAGCGGAATTCCAGAATCTCGGAATTCATGGAATTCCGGGATCTTGGAATTCATGGAATTCTGGGATCTTGGAATTCCGAGATCTTGGGATTATGGAATTCCCGATCTATGGAATAATGGAATTCCAAGATTGTGGAATTGATGGAATTTATGGGATTTCTAAAATAATGGAATTCCAGATCCATGGAATTCTGGGATCTTGGAATTCATGGAATTTCTGAAATCCTGGGATCCCAAAATTCCAGATTTATGG